GGAGGGGTTGGTAAGCAAAGCTGGTAGGCTTCCTGGAGCTGGGAGAAGCAGCAGGGTCAGAGACCTGCAGAGGGAAGCCGCTGTCCAAGCTGGGAAGGCTCGAGCTGCAGAATCAGAGACCTGTGGAGTAGGGCTGTGCGAAGCTTCAGATGCTGATTCGATTTGGAGGAGATTCAGCCTGATTTAGTGGCTGAATCTCCAAATCTGAATCGAATCAGGGGACCAATACAAAGGTCCAAATCAAGTTGAAAATCTCTGAATCTTCGGAAAAGATTTGGAGAGCTTCGATGATTCGAACAGTCTGCAGCTGATGATTCGGACAGTGTCTGCAGCAGGGAGCTGGACCCAGACTCCATGCCGGTAAGTATGGGGCAGAGGAGGGGGGGCTGGAGAAGTGGGGAGGGAACCATGGGGGGACCCCTGCCAGGCCCCATCCCCTTCCTGCTCCCCCAGTCCCCCCATGGCTTCCCTGCCCGGCACCAGCTCCCCATGTTTTAAAAAAAAGCCCTGACTCACGGGGAGCTGCTGGGTAGTGGGGGGCAATCCGTGCTGCTCCCCACTGCCCCATGCAGCATGGAGGGCTCTTCCATGAGCCCTCTGGCCCCCCGTCTCTCTCTCCCAGCCCCCATGGCTGCCCCACCCACCCCAGCTCCGGCCCTTTAAGGAAGAAAAAACTGAGAAAAACCCCAGGCTCACCAGCTCCTGCAGCGGTCTCGGGGGGCTCATGCAGATTCGGCTGAATCAATTCGGGACAGTGATTCAAATCACCGAATCGAATCACTGTCCCCAAATTGGCTGAATCTGAAGCGAATACTAGCCACTTCGCACAGGCCTACTGCAGAGGAAAACTGTCTGTGGGTGGATGTGCTGGGAGGGGGAGACAGCCCCAAGAGGGAGTGGGCTCAGAGAAAATAAACCAGCATGAGTGTGTGAGGGGACACCTAATCACTCGTGTTTGCAGGAAGTGTATTTCCAGAAGGAAACAAAAGGGAGCTTATTGCCTGCTGTCGCTGTTCAGAGCGTTTCGCTGTGTTACCAGGATGGATACCATCTTCCCTGGAGCAGCAGAACCCTTGCCTCCACCTGCCATCTAGTGGCGGATCATAGTTATAGCAGTGTTGCCATTTATTGTTACGGGAAGTGGATGGTGACCAGAACGAAATTAATTGGGTTATGGGACAGAGGGGGATGGGGGGACTGTTTTAAACGGTTATAACAAGGTGAATTTAATTATTGAGATTGTTTAACACAAGCGGGGACCCCACTGTATTGGAATTATCCACCTAATGTTGTAGTTGTAAATTTTATCTAAATTTTTAGTTTTATTATTAACTATGGTTATTATATTTTTTGTTTGTTTATTTTTTCTGTATATAAATTGGTTGTGTATAATAAAGAATAATGAGTTCATTGGGTTCAGAGCAAATTCCTGGGCAATGAGGGTGAGGCACACACCTCTCCACAGGACCCCTCAGTCAGCAGTTTGCCTGAGGGGCTCCCAGGGTTACTGGCACCCTGAGGATACAAAATCCGACGCATCACACAGTCTTAGTGTGCCGGCACTGGGTTACATCACTATTAATGGCAATCAGACTTGATGATTCGGAAACTCATGCTAAGCTCAGGCCTACTCACAAAAGTTAAAATACAAAACACTAGTGCTAACTGCATAGTGCAAAAGGATGTAAGTTCATGGCTAGGCCATCTGAGAAGAAATAATGAGGTATCCCTTCCAGATTATCTTACTATATTCATGATGAATTTAAGCAGGCTCCTAGTTGTCTGGTATGTAACCTTGTGAAATTTATATCCTTGATTAATTAGCATGGTAAATATTTCTCTTGCAATTAACTAATGTTGTGTACAGGAAGAGTCATTCTCCATATGTGATAGATTTCATAGACTTCATAGACATCAGGGCTGGAAGGGACCTCGGAAGATCATCGAGTCCAGCCCCCTGCCCAAAGGGCAGGAAGTCAGCTGGGGTCACAGGATTCCAGCAAGATAAGCATCCAGTTTGCTCTTGAAGGTGTTCAATGAAGGCGCTTGAACCACCTCTGGTGGCAGGCTGTTCCAGACCTTGGGGGCTCTGACAGTAAAGAAATTCTTCCTTATGTCCAGCCTGAAACGGTCTTGAAGTAGTTTGTGACCATTCGACCTCGTCATCCCTTGGGGCGCTCTGGTGAACAAACGTTCCCCCAGATGCTGGTGGTCACCCCTGATAAACTTGTAGGTGGCCATCAGATCACCCCTGAGCCTGCGCTTTTTCAGGCTAAAGAGCCCCAGGGCTCTCAGCCTGTCATCGTAGGGTCTGCTTCCCCGAACTCTGATCATGCGCGTGGCTCTTCTCTGGACTCTCTCAAGCTTCTCCACATCCTTTTTGAATTGTGGAGCCCAAAACTGGACACAGTACTCCAGCTGCGGCCTCACTAAGGCAGAGTACAAGGGGAGAATGACGTCCCGGGATTTGCTTGAGAAGCATCTATGGATGCAAACCAGCATTTTGGTTGCTTTACTAGCTGCAGCATCGCACTGCAGGCTCATGTTCATCTTGTGGTCAATGATGACCCCCAAGTCTCTTTCTTCCATAGTGCTAGCGATCGCTTCTGACTCCAGTGTCCACATCATTAATGAAGATGTTGAACAGTATGGGTCCAAGGACAGAGCCTTGGGGGACCCCACTGGTCACAGGACACCACGATGAGTGACTTCCATCGATTACTACCCTCTGGGTCCGACCCCGGAGCCAATTTTCCAGCCAGTGGATCGTGGAGGACCCAAGGCGACAATTGGCCAGTTTCTCCAAGAGGCGATCATGGGACACCAGATCGAAGGCTTTTTTGAAGTCAAGATATATGACATCAATCTCTTCTCCCTTGTCCAGGTGATAGGTCACCTGGTCGTAGAAGGAAATGAGATTGGTCAAGCAAGACCTACCCGCAACAAACCCGTGCTGGCTATCCCTTAAGATGTTGGCGTCGGCCAGTCCATTAAGGATGGCCTCTTTAATAAACTTTTCTAAGATCTTCCCCGGGATAGAAGTCAGGCTGATGGGCCTATAGTTAGCCGGATCCACTTTCCTCCCTTTCTTGAAGATAGGCACCACATTGGCCTTCTTCCAGTCTTCGGGCACTACACCAGAGCGCCAAGAGTTTTCAAAGATCCGTGCTAGAGGCTGGGCTATGATGCTCGCCAGCTCCTTGAGTACCCTGGGGTGAAGATTGTCAGGGCCAGCTGACTTGAAGGTATCCAGCTTCTCAAGATGTTCCTTCAGAAAGTCAGCATTAAGGGAGGGCAGGGGATCACCCTCACCCGGACTTCCCGGCCCTGTAGCGGGCATGGGCGTCCCATGGGACTGATGAAAGACTGACGCAAAGTACCTATTTAATAGGTTGTCTTTTCGTCAGTTGTCAGTTGCCCCATCTGGCTCAGCAGGGGTCCAATGTTGCCTCTGCTTTTCCTCCGGCTCCCCACATATCTGAAAAAGGACTTCTTATTGTCCTTGATGCTCAAAGCTAGCTGGAGTTCAGTTGCAGCCTTGGCTTTCCTGGTCTGCTCCCTACAGGACCGGACCAGTGCAGAATAATCCTCCTTGGAGGTGACTCCCATCCTCCACCCTTTGTAGGCCTTTCTTTTTAGCCTCAGGAGATCTGCTAGGTCCCTGGAGAGCCAGGGGGGCTGCTGTGCCCTCTTGCTGCCTTTCCTCTGAGATGAAATAGACTTAGTTTGTGCATTGAGGATCGCTCCCTTGGCTGTGTCCTCCCTTAGATGTGTCCTCCTGATTTTCTTCTGTTTTTGCTAGTGGTTTCCTTGATTTTCCAAGGACACTCCCCCAAACCTTGTGTTTTTCCTGATTGTTAATCAGTTTCTTGATATGTTCCAAACTTAGTAGAAATGGATAACCTCTTGTCCCTGAGGAAGGTAATCAATTCAATTTGAAACTTTCTGATAACTGATAACGAGCAGTTTGATTAACAGGATTTTCCTGTCAAATAGTGCTTGGGACTCTCTTGATTTACACAACCACAAGAATACTTTGTAGATGCTGGACTACGGGTATAATAAAGAAATGGAACAGCTAACAATGCGCGCTTCAAGAGTGAGAAATCTGTCTGACCCCAACTGCTGCTGTGTCCTAGTCATCTCGAGACGCTGGAAGAAACAGATTGTTTCTCTTCTTGCCTGTTTGGTGAGAAATCATCACCTTATAGCTAATTACTGGACTTTGCTGTGGTTTGGGCTCGTTTGACTTTGAATACTCATAG